GCCTTTTTTTTTTTTTTTTTTTGAGCTGATTCTTTTTTTTTTTTTTTTCTCATTTGCATCTTATTTAAAGTTCTTGGCACTGAATTCAGTGTATGTTTTACTGAGCAAATCTCATAGCATGTTTTTAATGGAGACTTTTAGGTAATTTTAAAATCAGTTAAGCTTTAAAGACTTTAAGATTTCCAGATTCTAATAATTAAAAATAATAAATCTCTCATATTTGGTACACTTTCCCCTTTCTAAATAATAGAGGAGCTAAGGTCCTGTTACATTTGTCTGTGTGTTGTGATCTGGAATTTTCTCTTTTTGAGCTGTTTTCTAAAAAAATCTGATTTTCTAACTGCTGCTCTTATAAGTAGGGGGGGAAAATAAAACAGCAATACTTTATAACCAGGGCTTTGATACAAGGAAATAATATGTAAAGATGGTTGGCTGCTTCACTACACTCTTGGGTGTTCATGTCATCTAAAGCTCTTTTTCTGTCTTTTATTGTTGGTGGGGAGTTGGGGGTTTATGGTATAAACAGCCACCCAGTATGTTTATTCTATGGGCAGACACTTTTGAAAAAGCATTTTTGTGAGCTGTGTAGGCTTGATATTATTCTGAGATTTTATGTTTCAGAATACAACAGGGAGAATCTCAGGATTGAAATGATATAGATGGAACAACAGAAAAATGCCAAGAACTGAAAGCAATAGAAAAGGGAGAGAAAGAGTGTGCATGGGGGAGGGAGATGTTTGCAGAGAAGAAAGAGGAAAAGCAGCAAGAGGTGGTATTGCTTCTGAGTCCTCGTTTTGGTTGAGTCAGGCTAGTGGGAGAGGTCCTCTGAGACAAGGGGCTCTCTTTTAGTTGCTCGGTGGCTTTCTAGGCTAGAGGGAGAGCTATAGCTGGAGCCAAGCTAGTGGTTGGAATACAGGGAGCAGTAATACGTGGACAAGGAAGCAGAAAAATGGAAGGACAGAAGAGATGCCCAATAGCAGAAAACAGGTTGTCATTCATGGAAGCGAGCAGGTCTAACTTTACCTTCATGGTAGGCAGGTGTTCGTTTGCCCTTTGCTCTCTCCTCCCATCCCCACTCCTGTTCTCTCTTTGGGAAAAAACTTCTTCCCTCTATGCCTTTGACAGTCATTTACTGTCTGTTAGAGAAAGCTGTCTGTGTAGCGAAGAACAGACAGCTTCTGCTTGTCCTGGAGTTTGGTAGTGGGTGAGAGGAAACCTTTACCCTCAAGGTTTAGGGAACCGAGCTTAAAGTTCCCTGGATAAGTCCTACTGGTATTAGTGAATGTGAAGGCACCAAGGACTGAGCTTTGCAGGTTAGTGTTAACATTTTTAACCTTATCTCAAAGGTACACATATCAAGCTTTAGAGTGTAGTTACGATATGAAAGTCATAAAGTGAGTTAAATAGACTGGTCATGAATTTTTTAAAAAAAAGGCTGCAGAGTTCCATCTTGGTGTACTTTTTATTCCATTTTCCCTTTTTCTTTTCAGTGGATCCCACTTACTACTTTTTTCAAATACCATTCAAATTATGGTTCTGTTTGAAAAAGTGCCTCCCCCCCAGATACGTGGATACACTGAAGCTATAAAAAGTAGTCATGAGCTATTTTAACAGTAAAACCAGAGGACACTAGTCTAGCTCTGCTTGCTTTTTTTCTTTTTTTTTTTTTTTAACTTGAAATTTTGTTTGTTTACATTATCACTTAATAGTTACTCATTTGTGGACGACTACTATCCTTAAACTTGAAATTGTGCTGAACACACTGGATACTACTGTTTTTCAATTATAGTGGGACAGTTGAAACCTGCCTGTTAGTTCTGGACACAAAACGCTAGTGCCTCAGTAAATCTTCCAATAAATCTTTCCTTTTGGGAAAAAGAAAAAGATTGTGAAGGGTAATGAAAATGTTGTTAAGCCTTAGTATTTGGTTGTTTTTTCCAATGGGTCAAGGAACTTTTGATTGAATTTCCTTCTCTACAGCGGATCCAAACAGTGAATGTGAAAAGGTGGAATTTGTGAACCTGGTGCTGCTCTTCTGCGAGTTCATCCGCCACGATGTCTTTTCCCATGATGCATACATGTGTACCCTCATATCTCGAGGAGACTTGTCAGTCACCGCCTCCACCCGGCCACGGTCACCAGCAGGGGAAAATGCAGATGAGCACTATTCAAAAGACCATGACATGAAAATGGAGGTATGGCCCTGGAGGTGACACTCCATATCCCCCGAAACTAAACTTTGCTGGGGAACCACTTTCAGATGGATTATTTAGTGGTGGGAGAGCAATTGTTTTCTGTTTTCTTCTCATGCTACAAATCTATTATCCCTACTCCTCCATCAGGAAGGATATTTGTACTGTAGCATATGTTTTCCGGAATTTTGTTTTGGATAGTATAAAATTGTTAATGAATAGATTAGATGGGTCATACAATTTTTCATGGGATTGGAATTAAATGCTTCCAATTCCAGATGTATCTAGTCTATAGATTTTCTTTAACTTTGTGTCTCAGAACTGAAAAAGTTTCAGCTGAATTTTGATTCTGAGGAGCATCTTTTCCCCAGTAAGCTATTCATTACTTATATCAATCTTTGGTACATAGTGGGAAATTCTGTTGGTCCTAACACATCATATTTTCATTTCAATTAATTAAAAATTTAGTCTCTCTTTCTAAAACATTGTAGAAGTGTTCTTTTCAACAAGTTATTTTATTTTACGCTGTGAGTATGACTTTATAATTTTCTGCTAAGTTCTGCTATTTTGGACGTTGTTCCAGATACTTACTGAAATTTTTAAGACAAAAAGATAAAGGTGTGATGGGAAATAGTAGACGATGGTGAGAGATTGTGAAAATTCCTTAAAAATAAAGCCTCATAATGGTTCTGGGAGAGTTGAAGCATATACCATTATGATATTTTTAAAACAGTAGTTGTACTTGTAATAAGAAAGCCTGACATTAGAATTGCAAACATAAATTCATAGTTTGTAGTCTTAAGATTTTCCAAATGGTGCAGGATTTTTAAAAAGTATTTTTAATGTAAATACTTTTGTTTCTTAATTGATTGACAGTGGAAATTACGAGGGTGAAAACTAAAGTTCCTTTACCTGTTTATGTGTTTTCTGTGCTTCTGCTTTTTATTTTCTAGTCTTGGATATTCAGGTATCTTATACCTTATATGAGGATACTTCAAAATGTACATGGAAAGAATCGTATTATCTTTTACTTCTATTTTTCCACGAACTTTTTGAAGTACCCTTGTGTGTGTGCGTGTGTATGTGTGTGTAATCTTAGATTTTTCTTACTAAGAAAAGTTGGTGAGCATGTGACTGGCAATAGCCCAAAGAAAGAAATTATGGCCAGTTTTTTTTGTTTTGTTTTGTTTGTGGCCAGTTTGTTTTTAATCAGGAAGTTTGTGTGCTCTTGCCTTAAAATATCATGGAAGTTAAAACTTTCTCATGATGAGGGAGAATGTGGCTGTTCAAAGCAATGCCCGTCTTAAAGCTTCCTTCAATTTGGGGGTGGGAAGACATAGGATGGTTCATCTCACTGTCATGTTTTCGCTTCAGTTTCTTAATGAACTACAAAATTTACAATGTGACTTTCTTTCTCTGGCAATTATCAGGAACAGAGTATAATGGCACATATGGGCATTGACTCAGGAACCACTAACATTTTTGATGAAGTAGACAAGAATGACTTTAAAACTGACTTTGGTTCGGAATTTCCAGTAGGTTCTACTTTTGATTCTTATTGATGGTTAACCCACTCACTCCCACCCCAACTTGTCTCCATCCTTCTATTTCTTGCCCCATGAGCAGAATGACTTGTGTACTTGTGATGTCAATGTGCTGCCTAAGGTGCCGTTTTCATCTCATCTCATCTCATGCTCTTGTCTCACTTTGGCTCATCCTCAGTTTTGGGTGTGTTGCCATCTTTGTGAATTACAACACTCCTGTTCTCCTAACTGACTGTTTATAACTCCTTTGTTCATTTGATGATGACCATCTCTCAGGAATGCATGAATGTGGTTTCTTCATGACAGTCTGTGTTGATTTGCCATGTATGTCTTTAGCTTCTAAATAACAGCTTTCGTGGCTCTGGACTTGTTAGACATTCTCCTTTATCAAAGTATAATTATAATGTGTTCTTCCTCATGTATCTCAATGTATAACTCTTTATAAAGAAAAAAAGCATTGGGGGACAGACTAAAACCTTTATGTCTATTGTTCATTAGTTTTATTAGTTAATTATTGTTATGTATATGTTTTTGTAGGAAATATAGCCCTATGAGGAAAACATACCAATAAGTCTGCTTTTATCCTTGGTCCTCTGGATAGTGTAGACACATTTCTTACATGCATGTGGCTGTCATTTTCTCCTCTTCAAAATGGGGGGTGATATTGACTTCAATGTGAATTTTGTGGAAATTAACAAAATTTCTTCATATTTTTTGCTCAGTGGTGAAGTAGGAAAAGGTATTATTGTATGAGTGCACTGTGTGTTTGAAGTTCTGGTGCGTAGCACTGTGGTTTGATTTTGCTCTCTTTCGTTTACAATCTCCAACATTTGTTTTACATGACTTAGATTTTTTCTCCCATGCCTGGAGAGTCCTGTGAGAATGCCAACCCTTCCTTGTGCAGAAGAATGTCAGTTAATGGTGAGAAGTTGGTGAAGAGGGAAAAATCAAGGGAATTAATTTTTCCATCTAATTATGACCTCCTTCGTCACCTGCAGTATGCAACACATTTTCCTATACCTCTGGTAAGTCATTTCTACAATCAGTTTACACCCTGATGATTTTATTACACGATCATTAACCATTGAATGTCAGATTATTCAACTACTTTCTTAATGATAGCAGGTGAGCCTTTGCATTTGTTGCTCCTTTTATTATAATTCTGACATTAACATGTATAATAGCTTATATAGTGATGTAGTCCAAATTTGTGGTGTGATACTAGTGGCTGGTTCGAAAATGAAATTTTCTATATTAGTATCCTTTTATTAAAGAGCATTTGAGTTACTGCAAATGATGTCTGAATGTGTTTTTCTACTTCAATTTGAAAGTCATTTACTGAGTTGCTTCTGTGTGTGCTGAGTTGTCGTAGGTACTTTTGGTATTATACAGATGAGTAAGTATTTTGGGGCACAGGAAAGATGAATAAGATAAGAGGGAGACAAATGCATATAAGTGACAAGTGCTCAAGTAAGTGCAATGATTGCGTAAAAGCCCAAGTGCCATTGGGAGGTGAACCATTTGACATTCCGCGTCCCTTCTACTCTTAAAGAATGAGTAGTAGAGGGAAAGAGAACATCTGATTGAGAAATTGGGTAAGACTTTGTAGAAGAGGTTACACATGAGATAGATTTGAATTTGGATCTGTTGAATTTAAGAACTGGATAGCAAATAGGAAATTGTTGGTAGGAAATTTAGTGTTTTAGTCTTCACAGAGTAATATGCTTTATTCCAAAGGGAAACAGGTTAGTTTCTTGGTATTAGTGATGAAAATTGAGTCAAAATCTGAAAACACTTTTTATTCATGGGGTCCATGACTTCTTTCCTAAAATTTTATGTTAAAGCACAATTTCAATGGGTCATTTTTCTCAGTGGGTGCTGCTTTTGTGTATCAAAAATGTCATTGTAGGTATATTATGTTATTTCCTGGATGTCTTTAGGGAGTTTTGATCTGCAGACTAAATGTTTTGTTAAAGTTACTTATTTTTTGGTATTTACAAACGTTCCTCCAAAATGACTTTCAAAATCACTGAACCATACTTTTTTTCTCATTAAAATTAAAAATCCTTTTAAAAAATTTTTCTATACTTTTTTTTTAATTAAAGAATTTTTTTGTGTGTCTTAACTTTTTTGTTAATTTTTCAGGGCAATGTCAAAACTTGCCAAAATTCTTTCTTGTTTTATCACTACCTGACTATATGAAATTTTAAATGTTACCTGTAGGCATCACTCATTTTTGATATAATGGAATAATCTCAGTTTATTTAGGGGATCAGGGAACCTCCTCAGGGCCTTATGTGTTAGAGATATATCCTGAAGTATTCACGAATGAACTTTAATGATGTCAGGGATTTGTTTTAAAATATTTAGAGTCAAAAAAGGGGGGACACTAAAGACTAGAGTTTATTTAATAGTAATGTTACCAGTGTTAACTTGTTAGTTTTGACAGATGTACCACGGTTCTCGAAGGCATTAACATGAGAAGAAACTGGTTGAAGGGCATATGGGAACTCTGCACCATCCTTGCAACTTTTCTGTAAATCTGAAATTACTCCAAAATAAAAAGTTTATTAAAAAAAGAAAAAAGGGACAGTAAATAAAGCTTATATGGCAAAATGTTGAAAGTGGTTGAAACTGATTGAGGTTATGTGCCCCTCTCTTGGATAAGCTTTGCAGGTCTCTGTGCCCCATGTGTCCAGGTGTTAGAACAGGGTGCTGAGCATCATATTCTTTGTTCTGTTGTGCATGTGACCTTGGCTTCACAGTCATTCCCAGCATTTAGTATTCTAAGGGCTGTCTACTTCCTTAGAGGAGCAAGCTTGAATGATTTCCAATGATTAAGTCTCATGATAGAGAATGATATAATTCAACTGTAATATAAACATAAAAGAACTGCTGAATGATTGATACTGTGGGATACAATTTTTTTAATAGCCTTTCAACACCGGTTGCCTTAAAAAAAAAAAACCTTTACTATGAGTGTAATTCAGGAGAAGCCATCGATGGGGAAACAAAGGACCATTAGGAAAGCTAGTTGAGAGTCTCGTTCTCTTCCTTAACGAAAAGGGAAAATCAGAATAATCTCGCATGAATGTGAGGCGAATATAAGAACATGGTTTAAAAAAAAATGTTTTTATCTCCCCTTTGTCTCTAATATTTGTCCCTAGTGAGTGAAAACCAAGGAGAGAGTACTTAAGGGGATTTGACCAAAGAATCAGAAAAATAAACTAGTGTAGTTTCATGTATATGTATTCATTGTCATGATGTCTCCATCTGCCCACTAGAAAAACATGTTCTTCAGACTACTAACAAACACTGGATCTAGTGTAGAGGTTTTCTGCCAACTTGTAACTTAGTTAAATCATTGATACTGTTTTGGATACACGATGCTACTGGGAGTCTTTATCATTACTAGTAGCTAGGAGATGTGCAGCACTTAATATGCTCTAAGCTTTGTAATCGGCACTCTGCGTTTTGTCATTTTTCATTCACTTCAGAGTCAGAAAATACGTTTGTGAAATTATAGACAGGAATTTCAAGCTTCAGAAAATAATTCTTCAAATGGAAAAACTTGTTTTCCCAGCTTCCAGGAACACCATTTCATAGTCATTACAGCTAACACAAATGTATTATCAACCGTTTTTATGTGGGCTTTGACTAATGGAATGAAAAACAAACAGAAAATCTCATATGTGCTTATTCGAACTTGTCCAGTCTTGTTTTCCCTAATAAGTCTTTTATTTAATGCCATGTATTGAATTCTTTCTGCATCAGTGGCAGTGGGGAGAATTTGGTCAGAGTTATGACCCTGAGAACTAGAATCACCCTACTTTAAACTGCTGGCCCCACCTGGGGTCAGGCTCTTATTTCTGGACCTGAGCAGCACTGATCAGCCTAGCCCATGCTGTGTTCTTAACATAGCCTTGCTATGTGGAGTTGGTGTTTCTATTTTAAGACTTTGACCAGTGCTATTTTTCCATTCCTTTGATGTAGTTTCCATTCCTTGAGCTTGTAGTTCCAAAACAGTAGTTTCAGTAGTTAGCATAATGTAACAAGTCCCCTGAAAATGTTATAAAGCCTATGTGTTTTATATTGGTATATAAAAAAGGAAATCACTAGATTTATCATTACTACTAATAAATAATCTTTATTTATACCTACAGGTAGAAAATAAGTATATATAATACTTTCAAAATTATCCATGTATTTCTAAGTCTTTTTATAAATAGAAGTTTTTAGTTATTGTGTTAGGAAAAAAAAGATGTTAAAAGTTGAAGATCAGACTAATCTAGCATGCATGAAAGGAGAATATAAGAATATGGTTAGAAAAAAAAGTTTTTATCTCCTTCCCCCTGTCTCTAATATTTGTCCCTAGTGAGCTGAAAGGTTACCATCTTTTGAAGTGATGGATTAAAAATAAATCAGGCACAGGTGGTTGCATGTAAGCATTTATTTAAAAAGAAAAGTCATCTAAAGGCCTTTAAAATTGTGTCGCTGAAGGGCTTCTGGCAACTTACATGGCGGTTATTTTGCATATTTTTATCAGGAAGTCAGTTCCAGGCATATAATGAATACCTCATGAATGCCTCTGAATCTATATCACAGATCTCTTGGATTTCAAGGATATTGCAGGGCTTTACATTGGTTCAACAAGACTCTAGTTTTTTGTACAAATAGTTAAGGAATATCAACAACCATATGAGTACAGTCTTGGCTTGCATTTAGAAACAGACTTTTTAAGTAAACCAGTCCACATTTGCTAGCTGTCTGTGTTTTTTCTTATGGAGATTCTTTTTTTCTCTCTTAAAACTGTAAGGAGATTTATGGTTGAGTAAAGCAAGAAGTGATAACATGAAAAATCCCATATTTTATGCATCATTTTCACATCCTGAGTTTTCTTTCTGAGCCTTGGTCTCCTTAGGTGAGGCAAAAGTCTCAGTGACCTTTAAGCGGAATGCTTTTGAGAGATGATAGTACAGGATAGGATCAAAACACAAGTTGGACACAGCTAGGAGCAGTGTGGCCTCTTTGGCTTTGAAGAGTGAAATCCTGGTTGCACAGTCAGATATGACTTCTGTCTGGCTGAGGGTGTATGGGATTCGGACAATGTGGTAAGGAACAAAGCATACAATGTAGCCTGCAGTCACTAGGAGTATGTTGATGAGAGCTCTTTTCACATTTGGATAATTTTCATTGCCTTTGTTTCTGTAGAGTTGTCGAATTACAAGGCAGTTGGATATTAAAATAATGGCTGAGAAATTTAAAAATATTGCTACACACAAGAAATTAGTCAGCAAATGCCAGTTCCTTCCAAACTCCTTTTTAAATTCCATACAGCCCACATTTGACTTTTCCTCAATGACTTTGATGGGAATTATCATGTTTGGCACCATTATAAGAAGGACCATTAGCCACACTACAGTTGATATCATTTTGGCAAATCCAGGTTCTTGTATTCGATAGATCTTGCAGCTGTGAAGCAACTGGAGACAGCGATCAATGCTGACAAAAGCTAAGAAGATGATTGATAAGTACATATTGATGTAGATGAGGCAGGCAGTTACTTGGCAGTGGAATATCCTCAACTTCCAGGGTGCCACACCCAAGTCGACGACAATTTTCACTGGTAATGCTAGAGTGAGCAGGAAATCAGCTGTAAGCAAATTAATTAAGTATATGCTCACACACCTGTGATTTGTGTTTTTCTGTATAAAAGCCCAGGTTGCAAAACAACTTCCAATAATTCCAACAAGGAAAACTAAATAAAAAAAATAAGTGAATGGCTCCAGATCTCTGTAAACTGGGCAGAAGAATGAACTGTTTGTCATCTTGAGGGAAAGTGAGGATGACTCTGTCAATTAAAAAAAAAAAAATCCATACAATCTGTTTAAAAAAAAATAAAAAGGAGGGGAGATTAATAATTAAGATTAGAATATATATTCTTGAAAAATATTTGCACTCATACTTCCATTATCTTTCTTGCTTTTGGGATTTTATTGGGAATTTACTAGACTTTGTGGATTGGTGAGAATATCCTAAATTACAAGGAAGCCTGGGTTTGCCTTTGTCTGATTTTGTGACTTTGAGGAAATCCCATGCAGGTTTGCTTCAGAAAGGGATATTTTTGACCTCGTTTTTGCATTCTGATAGCTCTTTTGTTACGGTTGGGTTGGAAGTTAGTTTGCAGAGGATATAAGTGAACTGAGATTCTAAGAAGTACAAAGAGGAAACTAGGGTTGTGGTTGAGTGTCAGGAGCTTTCAGAAAGTGAGGCTTTCTGGATTTCTTTTTTCATAGGTTCATATAGCTCCTCATGCTGGAATAACCTAGGCTGACGGGAGGTAAGAGGTGACAGAATATTGTAGTAAAATTTAAAGTGTTTTTTAGAAAGGAGATCCTTTATAACCTACCTGTTAGAACATTTTCAGAAACAAAATTTCTTTTTAGCAGAGAGAGTTGAAGAATTAGAATTGGGTCTTGAATTGATGCGTACGACCTCCTTTTTCATTGCTCCATTTCACAGTGGTATAGACCTGTAATGTTCAATAGTGTAGCCTCTAGCCACATGGAGCTATTGAGCCTTTGCATGTGGGCAGTCCAAATTAACACGTGCTGCAAAAGCATACGCATACACACTGAATTTTGAAGATTTAGTACAAAATACTATAATGAACAATACAAGTAGCACAAATTATACTATTTTATAGAAATAGTATAATAATTAATAATGAATCTTTAATATCTTGTCAATATTTTTTATATCAAGCACCTGTCGAAATGACTTTTTTTGGTATATTATTCGGATAAATATATTATTGAAATTTATTTCTCCTGTTTCTTTTTACTTTTTAAAATGTAGCTGCTAGAAAAATTTAAATTATCCTTGTGGTTTGCATTATATTTCTATTGGATAGTACTGGTACAGATGTTTCTGTGTCAGTGTTTTCGAGCAGTTTTGTGAAAAATGTGTTTTGAAAGTTTCTAGAACATGGGTGTTCATTGGTTACAAAGTCCTCAAAGAGAGGCTCAGTTATGTTATTTTCAAAACATTTCACATTAACACTGGAGTTGGTTTATTCCCCCCCACCCCACCCCATCATGGGTTTTCAGGCAGTCAAAAGTGTGGACATAGTCTTAGAATCATTGTGATCGACATTGATAATGAGAATAAAATCTTGTCATATCCCTTCCAAATCTGGAACACTGGGTGGGTTTATAAGCTCTAGGTATCCTAATTGGGCTCCCTTTGACCTGATCCAGACTAACTCCCATGTTTAGGGACACGGGTGCTTCTTTCTGGTTCTGCCTTTTGATATGGGTCCTCCTTTGCATATTAAACAACTTTTTGTTTTAAAGACTAGAAGGTTAGTTTTGTATTTTGCCAGAAAAAAAATTGATATGCAACCTTTTAAAAAAATAATAAATAATAAGTTTAGTGGCTGACACAGAAGGCCAAATGCAAGCAGATTAGTAAGGCAGATGTACATAAAACTTTCTAAATTAAAGTGTCATTTAAAGAGTACCTACCTGAGTTAGGACTTTAGGGTCCATGAATAATGTCATTCTGTACCAAACTCAGTGAAGATAATTAAGCATTTACTTTGTGTCTGGCACTGTGTTAAGTACTTTTCATGTACTTATTTAGCCTATCATCATTCCTGTTGTGTAGATTTTGTTATCCGTGTTTTACAGATGAGAAAAATGAGACATAATGAGATTAAGTACCTAAGGTTATATAAGTGGTAAGTTATAGAGCCAGGATTCCAACCCGGACAGTCAGATCGCAGAAGCCACATTCAAAACCACTTCAAAATTCTGCCTCAATAATAACAGTAGTAATGGTGATGATGATAATAATGATTATTATTTATATAGTAGCCAGTTTTTACTAAGGGCTTATTATGTGGCAGAAACTATATTCTAAACAATGTTTAGGTAAAAGAGCTGAAATAAAATATTCATTCTTAACTTCTTTCCTAAATACTAATAAAAGAAGTTTAGGTTTTTCATGTTTTTTGATGTTTCGTATTACAATATAGATATTTCAAAGCCAAATCTAGGTCCTATTCTGCACGTTTAAACCAACTTTACTTTTGAAGTTCCGGTAACCTAGTTCCTCCCTACCATCCCTACTTTCTCTTAATCCTGACTCTCTAGATTGATGGGATCTCTGCGGTTCTATGAATAGTTCCTTCTTGCCTTTGTACTTCTGTATGTGATAGAATTTTGGAATCATAGGACTTTGAGGATGTGTAGAACCTTTATTGATAGCATCCAGTCCAGTCCCCAGAGGAGCTGGGGAGACTGAGGTCTGGCACTTGTGTGTTGCTCAAGATTTCACAGCTTGTGTGAGCAGGACCAGGATTTTTGCTTTCATCCTATCTGTTCCTGAATCCTGCCTACTCTTGGGGCCTGAAGGAAACTCTTCACCTCTGAAACCTACTCTAGGCTTCCCTCACTTCCTTATGACCCTGATTTTTGATAGTCACCATTTATTTGTGCTTTGGAATTCTGAACATACTTTTCTTCTCTGTGTTAAAAACTAGCGTTGGTTTACATCGATCTCATCTCTCACCTTTGCTTATTGTTCCTTTACAAGGTGCTAGGATTTTGGCTTATGCTCTTTTATGTTAAATGTTGTATAACGATAGTAACATATATTTCTTTAAGTGCCCCATTACTCACACAATTATGCAATAAAGTCTCATTTTATTAATGAGACTTATATGATAGAGAAGAATTAGAAGAATTTGCTTTGATTAATTAATGTTATCTATAACTAGAACCAACTATATGTGATATACATGAGTAACTTATTTAAAATAATCGTAGTGTAATCATTCATAAGTAATGCTTGAGAGTCTTAGAGCGCCTAGCATTTGCTTTTATGACTTCTGTCTAGACTACAATGAAAACATGGTCTATTTAAAATTCTTGGTTATTTCAGTTAGAGGTTAAATTATGCTATTATAACATCTCATGTTCTCTGTCACAAATTTGAGAATTGAGCAAATATTTTGCCAACCAATTATTAGCAAGTGGAAATTTCAGGTACTCAAAGGTATTCCAGCAAAATGAAGAAAAGATTTATATGTCTTCTTAGTTCTGATAGAGTGCCCATTGCTTAGAAAATAAACTGATTAGGTTTTCTATGGGAGTCACAGTGGAATTTTTTTGAAATTATTTATTGTAATATTTATAGAGGAAAGTTATTTTAAGACCTTCTGTGCCCTGTTGTGAAGGCCTACAATGTGCCCTTTACTCATCCAGTTATAAAATTGAGTTACTGAATAGTTAGTGCTCACCTAAGTATTTGGTCTGGTGTGAATTAAGGTGTCTTTTCGAGACAGATGGAGTCATCAGAAGAAAATTATGGTGTAGTTTACAGCAAGAATCTATTTAGAGTTTAATAATTGGTGCCCTCTTATACAACAACCTTCTTACGAGTTGTTGGCTTTTTTTTTTTTTTAACTTACATGAATCAAATACTGAAAATCATAAATTTGCCCTCCATGAAAAAGCATTTAAATGTTTTAAGTATTTAAAAAGACATACCTGAGGGTATCTTCTCTGAGCCTCAGCAGGCCTAGCTGTAAGTCTTTAGAGAAGCAGCAGCTGTTCGGTTAGCCACAGCAGTAGCAGCCCCATTGCAGGGTTGCTGGCTGTACTAAAAATTTCCTTTCCTTTTTGTGTGGTTTTAAAATGTTGCGTATTGACGTAGATGAAACTGTGGTTTGTGAATACTTTAACTGTATAAAAGTCTCCTAAAGAAGTTTGTTTTGTTGTTGTTTTTTACAATTTCGTGTATGCTTTCTTAAGCAATTCAGATCCGTCTGTGTTTTTTAGAGGAAAGATTTTCATTTGTCCATTGTAGTACCTAGCCTTTTTTCTTTTTTAGGTACCCAAGATATATTCTGTGTCATAATGATTTCAAAGAATGTCAGTGTTTATGCCCTGAAAGGGGTTGAGTTAAAGATAAAAGGTGTTAAAGCGACTATGTCTTATTACACATAGTGACACTCACCAGCATTTCAAAGTTATAATTAAAAAATATTGTTTGTATCCCTGTTGAGATATCTATTAATAAACCAAAAAACAAAAAGATGGGATTTAACAGAATCTGGTAAACTATATGTTTTATTTATCTTTATTCTTTGTTGTTCATTGTAGAGAAATCTGGAAATAGAAATAGAAAAGGAACGTCATTATGCATAGAGACAGTTACTGTTAACATTTTTGGTACATGTGCTTAACATTTTTTTTTTATGATTGTGATTTTTTTAAATTTAAAAGTGTTATCATATATTGGTTAGAGAGCAGCCTTATAAAACCAAGGTCACGGGTTCAGATCCCCATACCAGCCAGTTGTCCCCCCCTCAACACACACAGAGTTATCATACTATGCATACTATTTTAGAGTTTGTAATTTTTTCATTCAAGAATATACCATATCTGTTTTTCCAAGTTATGAGATTAGACTGCAGTAAGTATTTGCCAGTTTGACCCGAACAGCTTAATTCATTGAGACAGGCGTTTAGTAATTAATAGATTGTATGTGAAGGGACCCTACAGCGTGCAATTTAAATTGTTTGGTTAAATGTCCATTCTGCCTGTGGGTGAACAAATGTTCACTGAGTGTCTGAAAGATGGCTAGCATGGTGAGGAGCCTAACATAAAAGTCACTGCCTCTTTTTTTTTTTTTTTTTTTACTATATGACCAGTAAGGAGATCTTAACCCTTGACGTGGTGTTGTCAGCACCTCGCTCTCCCAAGTGAGCCACATGCTGGCCCTGAAGTCACTGCCTCTTAAGGAGCAATCTCATCCACATCATCAGTTGGCTTTGTAAGGTCATCTTTCTTTTTTATAAGGCTAGCTTTTATAAAAGAGAATGTGAGCTCCTGTCACAAGCATATTTTGGGGAGTTCTAAATTTGCTGGTTCAAAGTTGATTTGTAAGTGCAAAACCATTGCCTGGGTAGTTAAGGTCTGGTTTCTTCTTAATGATTTGTTGGTTTGGTAGGTGCTTAGTTTTCTCAGTCAACTGCTTTGCACTTACAAATCAACTTTGAACCAGTAATTTAGAACGCCCCCAGATATGCTTGGGACAGGAGCTCATATTCTTTTGTAAAAGGTCTTTTTCTCCTAATGATTCTTTGTCAATTTCCCAGATAATAAGAAAAAAGTCAAAAGAAACCTCCAGAATCTAAGATAAGTTCCTTGTTACTAGCTTTTAAAAAGAAAAATTTATCAAAAGACTAATGAGAAATGTCTAGCTAACGGGATTTTAGGGAGAGTTAAGGGAACTATTGGAAAAAAAAAAATGTAAGGATGTTCATGAAGATAATGGCCATTTGTTTCAGATATCCTGGAGTTCTCCCAAATTCATATTGTTATTGTTATTGTTAATGCCAATGGGAACTTTTTATATATATTTGCTTAAAAGTTAGAGGGAAAAAAACCACAAATGTTTCTCAAACTTTGGTTTTTGGTTAAAGAACCAGTGTTAGTTTTCATCATAATAGTGGTAGGAAATGATCGTCTTTTAGACTCACTAAGAGCACACTTGTAGAAAAGACACATTTGCAGACAAGTGACAAGTTAGGATTAGGGTTTGCATCCCCTGGGGGGTAGAGAGGGTGAGATGGAGAGAAAGTGGAGCTGGGGTTGGCTGCAACTGAGCAGTGAATGGTTTCAACATGATATGAAGGAGAACTGGGATAAGAAGATTTCTGGTAGAGTTTCTTTTTTCTTTTTTTTTAGGTAGGCATATTTGTATGTTCACTTCAGGGTTATAAACAAAATTGGAAAGTACAAACTGCTATTCTTTAAAATCTGCTGAGGCCTCAGTGTTTGTCTGCATGCCAGATGTGAAGGTGCTGAAGTGCTCTGGTTCTCAGTGTTCTGTGTCCTTTTTGGAATAGTGAGAACTAATCTTTTAATAGTGAAACTGAGTCATGTTCTTCCTCTTGAGAATGTGCTTAGGCGACCTGGCACTGTGTGGAAATTTATTCACAGGGGAAATACATTTTTTTTTCTACCATCCCTGGTAATTCTTTTTACATGACTTCCATGTGAATTTCCACAAGCCACTTCTTTCTGTCAGTGTCATTGAGGACAAATGTTTTTCAGAGTGTACTTTGTTAGTGTTCCAGGAAATTGAATGTCATCACTAACGCAGTGTGTCAGAAACCCAAGTGGGAAGAAGTGAAATGAAGCTATTTTTCCCTTACCTTGGTCATGGCCATACTTTTTATTTAAGAAGTGATAGGTTAGTTATTTTGGTGGATATTTTATGTGTGTAAAATAAAAAGTAAAGCTAAATTGCCCCACTAAGTTATGAGTTGAGAAAGAAAATGCTTTTGTAGTTAACTCTCCTCTCCATACAGATCATGCTTCTGATTTGAATGAGCACAAATAACAAACAATAGTATTTCAGTAGAAGTATTTGCTTTTAATGTTTAACATTCTTCAAATTTGCTTTTTAAGCACAGTATGGAAACCCTTTGGATTATTGAGGAAGGGGACAGTGGGTGTTGGGTTAGGTAACCACTGCCACAGCCAGGCATGAGTCTGAGGACTTATTTTCTTAAAAAACAAACAAACAAAAAAAAACATGAGGTATTGGAGATTTCATCCTTTACAGATGAGGAAACTGAGGCATGGAGAAATTAAGGCCTGCCCAACGCTGCTCAGTTAGACTCTAGTGACCCAGCTCTTACTTATGCTCCTTATCATGAAAGTGTTGGACAGGGACAGTGATTACAAAGGAGGCCCTCAGGTCAGTCCAGGTCCCTTCCCCCGTTTCCATTTAGTGTTTGTAACCATTTGAATTTGAGTGTCATTGGGCCGTGGAACAGTGTACTCCTGTTTCCACCTCATCAGGGAGTCTGTAACTCTGGAATGTGAATTAAGGATGCTCTCAGCTCAAAATAGTTTACACTTTGAAGATTTTTATGATCAATTACTTCAGCAACAGCCTGTGTGGCTTTGGGTTTGTCCTCTCTCTGGAGCCACTGTGCTTCAGAGTTACATTTCAAAAGTTTTTTTAAAAATCACATAATTATTTTTCCCACCTGGATTAGCCCAAGACTCTTTCCTGACGCTGACTGAAATGGGTAGCTTCAAATCTGACAGTAAATTGTATGATTAGGCAGAGTAGTTTCAAAGTGAGGCATAGATATGTGGCTTTGCAGATGTTTGTTTCTGTATTATTTAAGCTCTGCCTTGGTTTTCCCTTTTTAATAAAATAAAGGGTAAAAATTTGGAATGATTTGAAGGCAAAGGTTGTTTTTGCACATCCTTGGAATGTGAACTCATTTAAAACAGAGGCCGAGTACCTTCCGCTGACATTCCCCTTGCTGATCCTTTTGGCTTTTTTTCCCACCTTTTTATTGGCTATATAGTTGAGTCAATACACAGTTGTGAGATGTGACTGCTGTTTGATCCATGGTCATAAAATAATTCATGGGAAAATCCCAAGAAAGAACTTGTAAAGGTTATCTTATTACTTTTTAGTCACTGAAGTTAATGGGTTTTTTTCCTTTTTTCTTTTTTTTCTCTCCATTTAATGGTTATGGTCCATTTCCTATGAGCTTACGACTAATACCAGTTTTAAAGCACAGAACACATTTTACAAATTCTGTGGTTAATTTCCAGGAAAAGTTTATTTGGAGATATTTCTCTTTCCCTTGCCATGTAAATCTTTCTTTTTTGATCAAATATTTGTGAAAAATTCTAAAGATTTATTAATTGCAGCCTGCCTCCTGAGCTCCCATCTAGGGAATATTTTTGTTACTTTCTCAAAGTTATGATGTAGAAAAGATGGTAAGGAATCTTATCACCTGAACCTGCAGTGATGCAGATTTACTAAGTGCCGTTAGAACCTGTGGGAAATCTAGGAAGTGTAACCCTCCTGACTTAGCAGAAGCACCACTCTGCCCCACCTAAGTGAGCCGAAAGGTGGTATTTTTGGGGGACAACACAGATAGTTGGGGTGCAGGGGGTGTGTTTGGGGATTGTCAGGCAATCTGAGAATTTGGGCTGTCTGAGCAGGATCTATGTGGGAAAAAGGCTGAAATCAAATCTTAGATTAAAGCACTTTAACAAGTAAGCAGTGGAGATATTTCAGTTATGCGAAGAAAGGAGTGTTAGTTCAGCAGTATTAGGTAAACCTGGCAGCACTGGAGTTTGTTGGCTTAGGAGAGAAACTGGAAAACAAGAAACCAGTTAGGGGATGATGCAGTCATTTTAGATGAGAGGCACTGAGGATCTGAAACTACATGGGAAGGGATGGGTGGTTGGGAACCATTGCCGAGGTAAAATCACTGTGGTGTGGGTGGGTGGAGAGCAGGTGAGGTTGCAGTCCTGGGAAGTGGGGAAGTCTGAGGAGAGAGATTTGGCAGGTAGAAAGGAGTGTTTGGTTTATGGGCTTACAAGGCTTTTAGTGCTATCTCATCATTTGATACAGCTTTGATTGATTTTTATTTTATTTCCTTTCATTTAATTATTAAATATCCCTCAGTGCTTCATTAATGTAACCAGGACATTCTGAATCTACTTTTTAAACACTTAAGGAATGCTTATTTTGAATAGCATCGATGGAAATGCTGTTTTTCTTGTTAAAAAATAGCATTTTTCTTTATTTTCCACTTAACTACTTTTATAATATCAGCCAGATAAGAAAATATACTTGATTATGGCATTTTTAAAAAAATGATGGCATGTTTTTCTTAACAAGAAAATGAATTTGATAGGAAGTTGAAAAGTGATGTTTACTTCACAAACAAAATGAGTATTTTCATTTCAGTCAGTAAGGTGTCAGAGTCTGGTATTCTGTTGGAAAGCTATTGAAGTAGAACATAAATAATTAACAGCTTGAAAAAAGCTGCATGTTAAATGTAGAGACTCTTTTAACTTAGAAAAGGGAATATCAAGAATGTATTGTGAGTAATATGAAATTCTGCATGGAGGCTATGAGAGGGACTTTTCTTGGTGTCCTTTTGTGTCAGGAATGATAGGAAAGGAAGCCCTTAGGGCTTCGTCTGTGCTCTGGGGGGAGGTTAGCAGCTCATGGGATGATGGGGGATTTGGGAGGGAAGGGAAGATGTGGTTGAGCTGTGGGCTTCCCTACCTACTGATACATTGTGGCTTAAGGCTGGTGACACCTGGAGGCTGATGATAGAACAATCAGTTTACCTCCTGGTCTAAGATCCTGCATTGCAGGTCTCCAAAGCACTTGAGATAATTATGTTTGGGAAGTGGGGTGAGGAGATCTTAACTATGACTGTGGCCGTGGGAGAAGCCATAGAAGGCATACAGTGAGTATCTTCAAAAGGTAACAAGAGGTCTCATGAACTTTACCAGTGAAAATACTTGTCATGAATTTTGCTATTATTGAGATGGGCCTCTTTTTATAACATGCTCTTCCATGCTTATATACCCCAACTGTTGGAGGTGGGAGAGACAAGAATAAAGTAATGACTGATATTCCCACAAGCCCTGAAACTGCTTTGGGAAGCACCTTATTTTGTGTAATAATTAGTTTCTTTCCTGCAGCTAGTTTTAAAGTAATATTTCTAATATATATTTACCACAGATAAATTAAGCATAACATTTAATCATTTTGTACAGACAGTGCCATGAAGTGAATAAAGCATTTTGAAAAGTGGTGTATGGGAAAGGAAAGCTATGTTTTGTTAAAGCGGTTCTTTTTGGGAGATATACTGACATGAAATGGTATCTACATGCTATTGGTGTCTTTGGGGAATTGGTGACCAAAAGGAAGTAGTGGCTTTTACTGTTAAAGACCACACAGTACCAAATACACATACCCTCATAGTGTTGCTTAATCAGAAGAAATATCATGCCCTTTTGGAGAGGTGATCTGTTACGTTTGTAATTTGTATATTATATCTCTTGATGTTACAGATTTTTTCTGTATTTATAGACACTATTTTTTTTTCTCCAGAATTAGTTAAAGATAATAGGAGGCAGCAGTAGGATTAAGGACAGAATACAAAATACTAATGGGACATATTTTACTAACATCATGAAGTAGAAACAAAGTTAGTGTGAGGGTGTTTTCTAGAGTTTCTGGATTATTCTTTTAGATGAAGCCAGTGTATCAAGACTTTCTCATTTGTATGTCACCCCCCCCCCAAAAAAATACAGCTAAAATTGTGATAAAAGCTTATGTGATAAAAGAGGTTTATTGGCTGACATACCTGAATGTCCAAAGTTGTGGGTGTGGCTTTAGGTGAGGGCTGAAGTGGACACTCAGCTGTGTAACCACTCAGGTGGCAGACATTCTTCAGTCTGCCATCCATGGTGTTAGTTTCTACTCATAGGACACTCTAGGCTCTATCGTGGTAGCCAAATAAAAGCAGCTCTTCCAGACTTTGCATCTTCTCGGCACACCCTCCAGGGGGTTTCTTCAGGAATCTGGAACTTGCTGTGACTGGGTCAAATTGGGTCATGTTTTATCCCAACTTGTGGCCAGTGGAATCAGACATGCTGATGATCCAGACTGCCCCTGACTTGGAGGACAGGGTCAGCTCTGCAATAGCTATGTGGCTGAGAACAGGGAAAAGTGACTTTCCCAAAGGAAGTGTGTTGACTTCTATTGCTGGGAAAAGAGGCTGGAAGCTGAGGAGATAACCAACAAAGGAGCCCTGCTGATAGCAATGTTTTGTAAAACACCACCACAAGGTCCACCCCACCTCAGTGGGTAGGTGTCATGCGTAATCTTTTTATATGATAGTGATCTTTCTGTGATCTCTTAGTTCCTTGATTCTTCTTGCCTCAAATATTCCTCTTATAAAAACACTTCAGGATATTTCTGCATTGGTACTTGAATCACCAATGCTTCAAAACTGAACCTCAGTTCAGTTAAAGAACACACAAGAATTCCTGTTGAAAGAGATTTTCAGTCACAGTCATGGGCTACTTTGAAACCCTGTCTATTAGATTTCTGCATTCCAGGTGTTGCAGAGCACCTGTTGGCATGTCATATTCTGTCCACAGATGTATTTTCTTTCAATTGCTGGCCCACCAATTAAAAGACTTTGTGATTTTGCATCTCTTAAAGACATGAGGAAACAGTGGGCCTCTGCTGCCGAGGCCCATGCTCTCTCCTTGCGGGCATCCTCAGCCTCCCGTTTTCTGAGAACCGTGCTCACAGTGCCTCTGCTGCCACCACCGGCACCTGACTTGTAAGCTGCACTGGGCGCCCTGAGCACTGGAAGTCGTGTGCTATAACTTTACCTACACAAGGACCTGGAGAGTGTTGTTTCCTCTTGCCCTTCTGAACCAGCACTGGTGATCTTTGAGAAGTTCCTGGATTACTCACTCCATGGTTGCCAGTGCTCTGCCACTTTGTTTTTAGTGTTGCTCCAGACCTAAAAATTCTGATACGCAGTAACTGTTGCTTCACAGCATCCTTATCTGCATCTCACGATGTTTCCTGAAAGATCTTGCTTTCACGTGACTAGTCTGCTTTAGCACAGGGCTTACAGAGGCACTACTTGGTGCTACGTGGCTCCATGTTTTTACTGCATTTTCTACAGCGGCCAGTAGGGGGTATTGAAAACCCTAGTATTTACTACTTGTCTGGGCCAATGGGAGTTGTAAAGAATGAATACAACTCCCCTTCCCCCCCCAAATGTATTTAGCCAAATAGATATAGCAAGCTTAGTTAACCAAGCATGTTCATTGGGCCAATGGGAGTTGTAAAGAATGAATACAACTCCCCCTCCCCCCCCAAATGTATTTAGCCAAATAGATATAGCAAGCTTAGTTAACCAAGCATGTTCATCATAGCTTGGTGAATATTGTTCTTTTTGTGAGAGGATATTTGACATAAAGTTGGGAGCAAATAGCTGTTAGGAGGGTGGGAAGTAGATACCGAAGGTGAAAACCTTCCCAGCTCTTCCTCAACTTAGGGTGAGTTTCTGAGGTGCTTCAAATATGAAGAGGACCTAGAGCATTGAAATAGTTATTTTGAGGGCCGGACCGGTGGCGCACTGGATAGTGCGCCGCTTGGGAAGCGTGGCGGCGCTCCCGCCAAGGGTTCGGATCCCACATACAGACCGGTTCCTGCTCACTGGCTGAGCGAGGCGCGGGGGCAACACCGAGGGTTGCGATCCCGTTGCCAGTCCCGGTCCGGTACGGGGGCAACACTGAGGGTTGCGATCCGATGCCGGACACGGAAAAAGACAAAAAAAAAAAAAAAAGAAATAGTTATTTTGAAAAGTCAGTGGCAAGTTGAATTTTTGAATTCTCTGTGTAACTGCTTTCCTTGTATTTGCATGTGTAATTGAGTGTATTTAAAAAAAGCACCTGTGTCTTGACTGTGAGGAAATCTGGTAATATTTCATCAAACATTTATTATTAAGAATAAAAAATTAAAGTATTAAAAATAATTTCTTTATTAGTACATATACAGTGAAGCAGGAAATAAACACAAATATTACTTATAAAAATGCTTGAGAAGAACATTTGAAAGATGGGCTGAATGTCTTCTAGCCAGTTAATAGCAGAGAAAGAATTTAGTTTTGATGATTCACAAGCCAGCAACCATATCCCATCTCTTAACATGTAAATTTTATCTGTTTTCTAGAAAATATGATATGTGAATTTTCATCTTATGTGTAATTTTGCACTCATTATTGGAAATTTTAGATTTTCTTTTTATCAAGTCTATTTGCTTTCTAAGAAAACTGTCTCCCCTGCCCAAAAGAATAATATATGCTTGTGTGTGTTTGTGTCTTTTTCTAGTCATCCTATTTTTTTTCTTATTTTTCCATACTATTGAATAGGGAAAGTTGCTGGCAAAACATGTAGATGTCTAACTTCTCTCGGTAGAGTTCACTTAAAAATATTCTAACACCAGAACCCCAGGCTCATTAAATGGCTTAATAAGTCTTTTTATAAAATACACTTAACATGTATCTAATATCATCCTCAAAATGCTATCAGGAAAACATTACATTTTTATTACAAAGTATGTAATTTGTATCTCTTTTCCATTGAAATACCCTGAGTTAAATCAGTAGGGGTTTCTTCAGTGATTTACAGGGTGTCTGCTTATTCTGCTTCTTCAGATGAGAGAAAACTTGACCTTTTCACTACAAACAAGCTTCTAGCCCATTATCAAACTGTGCCTGCTTTTAAGTTGACATTTAAGGACCCCACTGAAAAAAATCACAAAACTTACTAACTTAATTCTCATGTTTGGAGAAAGAAGATGCCCACGTGAATTGTCTTTGATTGCTTCCTGTTTTCTTTATTTACTATTTAAAGTTCTACATTAACGGGTAAAGGGGTATGAAAATCAACTACAATGTATATTGAGAAGTAAAATAAAAAAAATTTTTTTTCTAAGAAAGTTAAAAAATAAATAAAGTTCTACATTAACTGGCCAGATTAGTGATTTTAAATTTAAACTTACTGTTTTGATAGGATAGGATTGAATAATTGTATGTATTATTTTTTTCTTTTTATTAACAAGAAAAACAAAGTTCATTTTGTGAACTCTGCTGATGGGTATTTTCTTTGATGTTACAAAAAAGCATTGAAACTTACATTGGTTATGGTTCTAAATTGGATGGCAGTGCTAGAGATTATTCTTATTATGGGCCTGTTTCTTAATCATTCCTCTTATCACACTGGCCAGTTAGCTCAGTTGGTTAGGGTGTGGTGTGGGTTTATTCCTCTTATCATGTAACTGAAGATGTCAACATGCATACATAGACTTTATTTGAAAGGGGCTGTGAATTCAAAGAGTATCTGTGCTTTCATTTATTGTATTTCCCCTTTTGGATTTGGAAGTGTCTAGGTCATTCAGAGCTTTTAATGGGATATGCAGTTTCTTACATAAGATTTCTCTAAATGGCTGGCACAGAAAGAAATAAATAATGGGGTCCAGACATACATTTGCAGCAGATAGTAGCAGAGTGAATTCTTTCACATAGAGCAAGATTTCTTTTGAGTGGCAGCTGTAATGAGCATCCATTTGACTCTGTGTGTAGGGAATTCTGGCAATGTGGTAAGGTATGAAACAGACAAAAAATACAAACACAATGCTGAATATGTTGCGGCTAGATTTCTTTTTGACTGAACTGGAATTCCTTCTGGACTTAAGGTGAGACTTAAAGATTTTCCTTGTGATAGCTGTATAGAAGATGATAAGCAAAAGAAACACAATCCAGAAAGTGCCCACAAAGATGTAGTTTGATGCTTTGTGCCACTTACGTCCCAATTCGTTTTTAAGTTCCATACATTTTATTCTCGTAACCTCCCTAACACTCTGGTTGGTCAGAATAATGTTTGGAATAGCGAGAAGGAGCAGGAGCACCCATACTGTCACTGATAGAAGTTTGCTGTAATTCACTGACTGGATGACAGAAGTCAAAAGAGGCTTTACGATTTTATAATATCTGTCAAAGCTGATGAGCCCAAAGAAGACAATGCTGACGTACATGTTGACGTAGAAAAGCACGGCGGAGACCCTACAAACAAACACATTCAACTGCCAGGGGCCCAGGCCTGAGTCGCCAAGGATCTTGAAAGGAAAAGTCAGGCACATCAGAAAGTCAGCAACAACAATGTTCTTGAGATAGACAATGAAACTCTTGGAGCTGGGCACGTAAAAGAATATCCATCCTGACACTCCGTTGAGTAGGATCCCCGTGATGAAGACCACAAAGTACAGTACAGGAATGATTTGCTGAATGATCAGGGGGTTCCGGGAGCAAGGCTCAGCTGGAGGTTGTCTAGTGGTTATATTGGTCATTCTGCAACTTCTGAAGGCACAGGCCTGCAAAGACAGGGGAACTAGTCACTCAAAGGGCACTTATGGCCTCCAGGTCATTTGCCAAGTAGTAAAAGGAAGGACAGAGAATGCAGTCAAACCTACCAAGTTCTTGAAACTAATTTTTTACTTTAGTAAGTTAGGGCATCCCTCCCTCCCTTCATTTCTTCCTTTTTTTTCTTTTTGTCGGAATAAAAGGGGAAGAGTGGAACAGATGAATGTCAATAAAAATAAATTGGAGAAGCTGGGAAATTTGAAAACAAGTAATATGGAGACCAGTATTTCCCTAAAATGATATTTTTTCCCTATAGAACTCCAAAGTTCTGGGAATTAATCATTTAATATTGGTTTAAAAGTAACAACTGTAAAAGCAGAGTTAATGTTTTATTTTTTTCAGAATTCTGTTTAAGGGCTGAGCCCACGGCGCGCAGTGGTGCTCCCGCCACGGGTTTGGATCCTATATAGGGATGGCTGGTGCGATGCGCTCACTGGCTGAGCGCGGTGCGGCTGGTCACACACACACGAAAAAAGAATTCTGTTTAAGATATTAGATTTTTACCTGTGTTGGAAATGTGAGTTTTTCCCCTAAAAGATAAATTTTAATGGATTCATAAAAAAGACTCCTAATGTTTACATGTTTTTTAAAGAGCTGTTGAGACCTTACTTTTTTGAAAGCCTGCCTTGCATGCATTCTGGACATAGGACAGTGTCTTACAAACATACACATTCAAATGTTAACGGGTATTTTTGTTATGGAATTATGGGTACCTTTCAAAATTGAGTTGTTTTTTTTTAAAATTTCATTGAAAAACTGACTTGCATTATTTTTATAAACTAGAAAAAAATACAAATAAGTAAATGATAGAAGTACTGTAAAAAGTCCAAGAAATGTTTCCCAATGTACATTCTAGATCTGCACTGTCCAGTATGGTAACCACTCGCCATATGTGGCTACTGAACTCTTGAGATGTGGACAGCCCAGATTGAGATGTGTTGTATGTGTAAAGTGCACACTGGCTTTTGTAGACGTACACCTGTACCAAAGAAGAATGTAAAATATCTCAGTGTTTTTAACATTGATTACATGTTGAAATGATAATATTTTAGAAATATTCCATTAAATAAAATATATTATTAATCTTTTTAATAAGGCTACTAGAGAATTTAAAATTACGTATGTTGCTCAATTATGTTTTTATTGGGTTATGCTGTGCTGGGTATTTACCCAGAACTTTGTTTTGTTAGGGAATCCTGTATATTCTTCACTGATGTCAGAAGTATTGAGTTAGGGCAGAGAGAAGATTAGAATTTATTCAAAAGGTTATTTGATGCATGGAGGCAAATGTTTACTATCCATGTTGTTTGAGGGTAGTTCAAAAAGTTTGTGGAAGAATTAAAAGATAGTATGAATCCTTCCATGAACTTTTCAAAGACCCCTCGTATTTGAGTAATGCTGGTGTCCTTCAGTAGTCTGTCCTTGCCGTCAGGATAAAGTCCTAACTCTTTCATGTGAGCCTCCAGATCCCTGCTTCCTCCATCCCCAGCAAAGAGTTCCTTCCATCCTGGGCCTTCTTTCTCCTTTTAGTTACATTATTCCCCTCATCTTGGGCCTCTGTACAAACTTTCTTTGTGTGAAAAACTGTTTGACTATCACTATCTTCGTAGCTGGCTGACTTCTCTTCATTCTTGAGGTCTCAGCTTGGATGTGACTTCCGTTAGGAAGCCTCACCGTCCCAAGCTCAGCCGGGTGGGTTGAGCGTGGGATCCCTTTGTGTGTGCTCGGAATTTTGAAATTCTGTATCCTTCCCATTACAACACTCTTCTCTCCAGCTGTTCTTGTTGTGCTTCTTTTACTACTGTAAGCTCCTTCAGAAGAGAGAGACCATGTCATTTTTTACCATTGTGTTCCTAGCATAATATTTAGAACATTAGTTAAAATATTTGTAAAATAAATGAATATGCAATCTGGGAATACAAAACGGGAATGAATCTCTGCTCTTCAGATATTTACATCTAGTCAGGGATCATGGGACAGAGTTTGTGGAGGACAGTGGGTTCTGTGAGGTCAGAGAATTTATCTTTTTTATCTTTCTATTTCCGGTGCCTGTTTATACACAGTGAGTAACCAGCTATGTCAGTAAAATTAAGAAAGTGTGAGGAAGGGGAATTTGGAAGTGTGGACTATGAAATTGTCGCATTCCACAGAGCAAATTGTCGCATTCCACAGAGCAAATTGTATCCATGCAGACTCGTGTGCTACTTCCTACATAAGGATTATTTTGCTTCTGTGTATTTTTCCTTCATGTATGCCATATGACAAAACTAGAAATATTTCTAGCCACTTAATTTTGCCAATCTATGGACATCCTGTGGAAGGGAAAATGACCCCAGATAACTTTCTCCATGAAGCCTTTTATCAGCACCTGTCCCTTCTCTTCCCCTCTGGCCGCCGTGGGCTCAGCTCTGGGCTTCGTGTGTTTGTATTCGATGGCGTCTTTGTAGGTCTTCTGTGGCCTTTTCACAAATAACCCTGTGTTATATTTTACATGATAAGTGAGCGGAAGCACATTTTCCATTTTTAACTGTCCACTGTGACAAAGAGTCTGTGTCTAGGAAATAATTTGCCCTGTCTCCTGACAGATGCATTTTTGTGTAAAAGCCAGTCTCACAGAGCTTGAGAGAATGCACATGGCTGTATGCCCCCAGGTCTAATCTGCTGTCCCAGTGCAGGCACACAACCCCCTTGGTCACTGTGCTGCACCACTCATGGTCAGCATTTAGTATGTGTGCATTCACTTGAGTTTAAAATATAAAGTAAAGAACTGTAGATGTTATTTTGAAGAAGATAAATATTAACTGTGTAATATATAATTATATAGTGAAGAATTTCCCAGAAATGATAATGAGACACAATCCCTTTCCTTATAAAACCTGTATAAAGTTGTTTTCTCAGAGTCTTGTGACATCCATATTTTTGAGTGGCAGTGTGTCTGCTTGTGGCCTGATGCTGCAGGTTCAGAACCCTCCCCGCAGGTTTCTCAAAGTGCTGAGAGTCTGCACGTAACACCCGTGTGATACACACCATTGGCCCCTTCTTCACCGCCTTCTGAAATGGAGTGATCCCTCATGGTCTGCTTGGGTCTTTTTCCCAGATGCTTTATTGCTGTTTTGGCAGTTGTGAAGCAATCGCAGGTGAGAATATGTTTTAGGGTGGAAGGATTTGAGACCTGCTGCTTGGGTTCTCTCTGCTGCCTGTGCCATACTGTTTGGTTCGATACAGCAGAGGCTCATGCCAAGGCAAACTTCATTTTAAAGCAGTACTCTAAATGAGTAATGAGCCCAAGATAAGTTCTAGGACACTCTTGGCTGTAATTTTTGAGCTCTTAAATATTGCTTTTTTTTTTAAAGCAATGGTGCAGATGGTAAGGGCATTCTGTCCTGTGGGTTAAGGTGTCTCAGAGTGTGGCAGCCTTGTCGATAGGGCAGATCAGACCAGATTCAGAGATGTGTGACAAAGGAACTATCTTAAGGCGAGGGCAATTATATATTAAGAATAAAAGGCAGGAATATGTATTAGATGAAAACCAGGATGAGATCATAAAAAAAACTCATGTATCATTATTGTAATATCTGCCTAGTCTTCTTTTCTTACCTTTTAGTGTAGAGATGATTTAATGTCCTGATAAAGGGGCCTACTGAAACTTGAAATCATATCTCAAATGAAGGAAATAGTCACATTGATGCTGATTTTATATAATAATGCAAAAGTAAATCAGAACCAAATTAAAAAACAAAACAAAGAATCTCTTGGTATGGCCTGACAGTGTTCCCTTCCCCAGCCCAGACTCTCAGTTGATTTACTCCTCCCAGCCAGCTTGTACCAGCCCATTGAAGATGAGAGACAGGCAACAGAAAAAGTAATAGAAGGTGAAAAGGCCTGCTAGGTGATGATCAGCTGAAACACTGGGCATTCTGGTGAGCCAGTTTGTGGCGTCCGTGTTCGGGGAACCCTGCCTATGATAGTTGCTTATGGTGTTATCATTGAATTTCTGTAGTGAAAGTGGTCATAAAAAAAATGTGGTCATTATGTTAACTTTGAGGCTTTAGAACATAAACAATGCTCGCTAAATTCCTGAGATTACATTTAAGAAAGAGTTCTATATGTGGCTAAATTTTCTTAAAAGGGATACTTCATATTGTAAGGCTTCAGCTTGTCTTAGGTGAAACTGTTCCTTGTTTCACAAATCCAGAAGAATGAGAATGAAATGGTATGAAATGTTTTAGCCTTTATTTACCGTCACTTTGAAGCCTTTGGTAACGTAGATAAAGAATGTGGCAGAGTGGGATTTATGAGGCCCAGGCAGTCGATAAGGTGTAATGGGCTCATCATGTAGACTGGTTTCTTCCAATCTTTTTTTTTTTTTAAACACAGCTAGAAAGAATGTCGATGCCAAAGACTCAGTATCACCTAGATAGTGGGTGCACTTGTCCCTCAGTGTAAGGGAAGGTATTAGTATCATGCTGCATGAAGTGTTTTCAGTTGTCGAGTGTTACACGTAACCTCTGGGCTCTCTCTGTGGACAGAATTTAATTGATACAGGGCTGTGCAAAGCCATGCTCACTCCAGACATACATTCATCTTAATACAAACATGCTTAGTCGGCTGAGTTCATTGCTCATCTTCTGTGTCATTGCACACTGTGACCCATTTATCTCTCATGTGTGGACCACCTTTCACCATTCTAATTGTGTCATATGTAATTCTACTTTCTCTGAAGAAGAGAAATTATTCCTTTATAGCATTTTGATGAAATTAACAAAGCCCTTGATAATAGGGTTTTTAAAAATTACCTTTAAAAATTTTTTGTGTAAGATGAGGTCTCCTTTCAATGAAGTAACTTTGCCTGGTAAGTGCTTGTCATCTTAAAGTGGCCAGAGTATTTCTTCACTAAGGATCCTGTATTGCAGGAGAAAAATGAAGAGTTAATTAAGTTAAATGAATACCAGATTGTTTTTATTGGAGAGATTTACCTGTACTTATTTCATTCTGCTTGTATAATTGTGAAATATTTCAACATGTGCATTTGGTGTTGTTTTACTGTACATTCTCTTGGTTGTCAATAATGATGATTATTGATTTGGTTGGCAACTCTTGTGGGAAACTTATAAATTATTTGTTTGAGAATGTTGGACATGAAATGTTTTTGAGTATTGGTTTATATTTTTCCCCTATGAATAAGGGTGTTCAAAACAGTTCATTAAATTACTGAATTTAACAATTTATCATTTTAGCCAGGAAATTAAAGGTTTAATTTGGGTTTCCTTTTTAAAAAAAAACTTTACCCTATTGACATTTTGGGCCTTATACTTATTTGTTGTTGGGGCTTTTCTCTGCATTTAGGATGTTTAGCAACATTCGTGACTTGTGCCTACTGGATGCCAGTAGCACCATCCCTCCACATTGTGACAGTCAAAAATGTTTCCAGACATTGCCAAATGTCCTCTGGGGGACAAAATTGCCCTCAGTTGTTAACCACTGGTCTAATGAGACTTATGTGTGGTGGTCTTTGCAGAGATAACTCCGGAAAATCATATTGTCTAATGGGAAGAGGATAAGTTAGCAGAATGGTGGGTGGGTTTGGTTCTGCCTTGCTCTAGGTTGTCACCTTTTTGAATTGTTTAGACCAGTGCTTCTTAAACTTTAATGTACATACATATCACCTGGGGATCCTGCTAAAATGAGGACTGAAATTCCATAGGTCTGGAGTTTGGTGTGATGAGTTTGTGGTCCAAGGACTGCTCTTTGCGTAGCATTTCTTTTTATTTCCCCCCACATACTGTACATGGGAGACGTTTAATAAATGGTGAGGAGGGTGGAAAACTTGTTTTTCTTTACTGTAGTTGGGACTCCAGACAAGAAAAAGTTACACTTTAGATAGATGGCTGTGAAATCTAAGAGTTTCTCCAGAGCTTATTTATTACAGGTTTCATTACAATCACCTCATCCTTGTCTCTTGGAAACGTAAAAGATATTTTATAGAAGCCTACCTGAGAGCAAGTGATAACAATCATTTTAAACTTATATAGAATATTTCTAAAAGGTTATGAGATTCTCTTTAGAAACAAAACAAAGAGGGTAAGTTCTCTGTGGAGCAATAATGTATACAATCCCGTCAGTACTGAATATGTGCTGGTTGGGAATGATATACTTGGAATTGAGGATGTTGCTTGTTTCTTGGGAGGGGAGGAGGAGCCAGGAATGGGGAAGGGTGGTTGGACTTTAGCTGGATCTGATATTTTATTTCTTAAGTTCTGAATCAAATATGAATACTGTAACTATCTATTACCAATGGTGACTGGTGTATTGGTATTAGTAACATTAGTTTCTGCATTTTTATTTTTGTATGTTTGAAATAGTTCATAATTGCTATCAAATCACCCTTTTATCAGTACCCACATATGATGAGCAGTTTTCTTCCTGTTCTTTGTTCAGTTCTGATAAAGGAAACATCCTGATATTTCCTTCTCCCTCTTTCCAGTCCAGACTGGAAAGACAGCTTTAATCCAAGGTGCCCCAGACCTCTTAGTATGAGACCTTTTAGTATTTTCTAGCTGATTATTATATCAATAGGAAATAGTATAGATGTGTGTAGTCATTGTGTACCTTTCTAAACTTACTAAAGCTATTTTCTTACTACTGTTTTTAATGTCCTGTGCACTGATGTGTAACATTTTTTTTTTTTTTTGGTATCAATATGTGATACCCTGCATAGTTTCCAGGGAATGTATGTGTGGGCTGCTTATTCAATATTGTGTTATGTATGTTATAACATTTTATGTCATTAAATGCTTTATAACATTTTATATTTTAAAAATATTTTATATTATTTAATATTATTATTTAATTCTAAGTCTGTCATCAGGCTGCTAGCCTTTCTTATTCCATGGTGAGCTGGATATTTCAGAGCTCCTTGACTTTTGGCCCTGCCTCTCTCTCCCAGTGTTGTGACTCCTTAGGGTTGGGTAAACAATGTCATCTGCTTCTAGGACATAGACCTGTTCGGGAAGAAGTCATTATAAGCATGCCTGTTGATTTCACAGAAAATTCTTTTTCTGTAACTGCTTCCCACCCACCGCCCCCACTTGTTTCTCAGAAATCCAAAATCCTCCTTCTGTTTGGCTCCTGTGTTAGTCTGTTTTCTGCTGTTATAACAGAATACTGTAGACTGGGTAGTTTTCAAAGAAGAGAGATGTATTTGGCTCACATATCTGGAGACTGGGAGGTTCAAGATTGAGGGGCTGCATCTGGTGAGGGCCTTCTTGCTGTGCAATCACATGTCTGGAGGGTAGGAGAGCATGCAAGACAGCGAGGAAAATGGGGCCATGCTCCCGTGATAACTAACCCTCTCCTGTGATAATGGCATTAATCCATTCATGAGGTTCACCTCTGAAAGGTCCTATGCTTTTTTTTTTTTTTTTTTTGTCCTTTTTGAGACCGGCCTCACCGCGCTCAGCCAGTGAGCGCTGTGAGCGCACCGGTCATCCCTATATAGGATCTGAAGCCGCGGCACTCCCAGCACCGCACTCTCCCGAGTGCGCCACGGGCTCGGCCCAAGGTCCTATGCCTTAATACCATTACAATGGCAGTTAAATTTCAGCCTGAGTTTTGGAGACATTCAAGCCATAGCAACTCTCTCAGATTCTCTCAGTGGCTGTCTTATCCCTGTTCTGTTCTTCCCAATGCCCCTGTCTGGGCTGTGCCTTCTCCATGCTCAGTCAGTGGGGATCTCACTCTTTCCTTCATACAGAAGAAGGAACCCCCTGCCCCTCATCTTTTTTCATCAGCCTGAACATTTAATGTTCAGCACTCACCATACTTTTCAGAAGCTGCCAGGGATCTAATTTCCAAGACTTGTCTTTTTCTCAGTTGTCCTGTTTCCTGACTTCTTTGCAGAATTTGATATTATTGATTTCCCCTTGTTTAAATCTGTTCCTTAGGTACATTATAGCCCCTGGCTCTTGTATATCCCTGATCCTTTTTCCTTTACCAAGACGTTTTGTTCATTTGCTCACTAAATCCATCAGAGCATGTTGTCAGACACTGTGGGAATACACCAGGGAACTCTCAGGAAGTTTCTAGTCTAGAGGGAGGCTAAACAGAGTGGTACGTAAGGGTGTGACAAGGGCCACCACTGGAGTAGGAAGCATGGGAACACCTATCCAGCTTCAGGAATGGTGTTATCAGGGCAACCTTTCTGGAGTATATGATAATGAAAATTGACAAATGAGTTGGCTTTAGCCAGGCAAAGAAGGGGAGGGAGGAGGTTTTGGGCAGAGAGGGCTATCAAGGCATCAAGACATGTGAAATGGTAGCACAGAGGAGGGACATGGATTGCCTGAGCTTTGGGGGTAAAGTGAGAGCCTTGCCTATTGCTGTTATTATTACTACCATTTTACAAACAAGGAATCTGATACTTAAAATGATTAAGGAACTCATCAAAAGCCAATAGGGCAGCTCACACATGGCTAGACGGTATTCAAACTGTTTGACTCTAAGCCAGTGTTCCCTTACTCCTGAGAGATCATGGAGGCAGCGTGTTTTGTGTGAGTATAAGCACGAGCTGTACAGGCCCTTCAGCATTTTGCTGGAGTCTCACCTTTAGGAGTCACTTAGCCAGTGTTTTTTTCAGGAAAGGCATGTGCGTGGGTATATATTTGTGAGTGTATATGCCATTTATTTCGTCTGGGTTTTAAGGTTCTGCAAGGTCTGGATGCCTTCAGTTTCTCCAGTTATCCTCCAGGCACCACAGTATAGAGAACCTCCTTTTATCTGCCTGTTTCCAGAGTGTCTAAAATGAACGTGTTTCTGACTTTGATTTCGATTCAGCTTTCTATCTCCTGCACTGATGTCCAAGGAGAGGTATAGAATCGAACCACTGATAATGGTGATTGAAATAAATAGCATTAACCTGTAAATGGTGGGGAGACTTTTGCAGAGAGAAACCCAGATCTGTTGCATGTGGTTTAGATGGAACACATGGATCCCTTGGGGTCTCTGGCGTGAGGAGGGCTCTGTTTGATGCTGCTTCTCAGCTTTGGCCGGTCTTCTCTGGCAGGAGATGTGAGCTCTTGACCAAGCCTAACATGATCCTCCTAACTCCTGGCCACTCTGGCCCACTGACTTTACCTTCTGTTAGAATGTAGCAGTGACAAGCATGCATTAATGTAACTTATGATCGGGTGAATGCCATGGTCACATACTTGGAGGGTCTGTGCTAATGAGCTCTCAATTTAGAAATATCTGCATGCTCGTCTTAGGTTGAACTGCAGACACCTAAGAACCTCCTCTTCCTCCAAAGCATAAACTCAGCTCTTTCTTAGCAGCCTCCTGGCCTTCCTATTCACAAACCCTAAAACTCATGAAGATTAAAAATCTGAATTTCTGGTACAAATACAGCCAACCCATGATTATATGTGAGAATGGGGGCTGGGGGATGGATAGATATGAATAATAAACTGATAATGTCCAAACCTAGCATCAACTTTTTATTCCAACCACTTCCCTCAAAACACTTTTAGCAGAACTGTAGCAAAGTGCATGTCCGGCACATCTGGCACATCTAAGAACTCAGATATGTCTGCACCGTCTTGTGGTGATGTAAGCAGATCTCAGGAGCTGCTAGTGGAGGGTGAGGTATGGTGCGTACCCCTCATGACCTGCGTGGTCCTTTGCATGCCAATCTTTGGGGTCATGAGAATGGCCACCCATCACTAGCCTCCATACCAGGAATTGCATTTGGATAGTCAGGATGGATTTGTGGTAATTATTCACTTGTAATTTTTGGAATATTCCAGGATTTCTCCGCCAGGCACTGTTGACATTTTTGTGTGTATGTATGTTGTTGGATGCTTAGCAGCATCCCTGGCCTCTGTCCACTATGTGCCAGTAGCACCCCA